TAGGGGTTTGTTATGATGTCTAAAATTAGCCATCATCTTGAATGCCTTGTTAAATGAGGATCTTGAAATGAGTTATTGTGCGCATGTTTTCCTGATGTAAGCCACAAATCTCTCTAAATTTCACTTTGCCTCATTTTTTTCTGTACTATTCTCTATTTTTAGTGTTTTTAGTAGTGATCTTAAGGTAAACTACAGTTTTTAACATTATTATCCCTTCACCATAAGCTAACATATATGTATATATAACATGTATGTATACATATGTATGTATAACATATATGCAGATATTAAGCCATTACTCTGTGCTTAGCTATATTGTCCTAGTCGTTGTTGTGAAGTCTTGACTTAAAATAAGTTTTAATCATTCCTTTTTCAGAAGTTCAGAGGAGAAAGCTGTCACCGGTGTCCCATGTTGTGAATTATTTCCAAATGCTCGAACATCATCAATCAATGAGTGTGATCTTTTTCGGAGCAGTGTGGGATGGTGCCTTAAATAAAGGGGAGAAAACTAAGAAGAGTGTCTTTTTCAGTCCATTCAATATTGCTTCAGGCAAGGTTTGCTCTATATTGCACATACTTACCTGTTATGAAATTAAAAGCTCTATCAAGGTATGGTAAGTGCTAGAAGTATTTGCAATTGAGTTCACAAAGGGAGCAGAATGAAAATCATTTAAAACTGGTTCACACCAGCAATTCTTTGTGCACTATTAACTGCTAAGATCTAGTCACAAAACATTATTCTGAGGAGAAAAGGTTTAGTGAACCCTAGAAATTGGATTTGATTTATGCCAGAAAATCTGCCTTTTCACTGCTTGAGATTTCTATGGAAGAAAGCCACAGTCTTTTAGTAAATGGTTTCTAAGGTAACATCTTATAGCAGAGCATCTGAAAACAATTTGGTGTTAATGAGAAATGGTTCTCACGGTGGTGGGAAAGTGTTGAGTGAAAGGAAAGACTTTGGGATTTGGCAGTGTGTCTGTAAAGGCATTTAAATGTGTGCTGCAGCTCTGCTTATGAAATCTCCACGTGGATTGTGTGTCCCTAGGTCGTCTTTCAGATGCACAGGTCAGTTTGCAAAGTCGTCCTTCCCTGTGAGTTTAACTGAGAGGGCCTGAGCAATAAAATGAGTGCTTGTATGTGAAAGCTGAATGATTTAAATAGCTGGCGTTGCCCAGTGGGAAGATCTTTGCTCCTGAAGCACAGATATCGGTGTGTTGGAGGTCATGCTTTATCTGTTCCCCTCAGAATCCCTTGCACCCTCAGCCCTGGAGGGCAGTGGATGCTGCTTGCAGACTGGGAGATGACTTTGAAGGGCTCCTCCTGTAAAGTTGTGCCAGGGTAAGCTGGGCTCTTTGGGCAGAGCGGCACCTCAGCTTCACAGCACATCTGCCTCTCCTTTCCAGTGCAGCCCTCCATGGCTAGGGGCTGGAGCTCCTCTCAGCAGTGACTCCCAACCGTTCCTCCCTCCCTCCCGAAAGGGCCAAGGCTGGCAGTCCTGCCCCCGTTCCCTGGAGACGGGATAGGCACGTGCTGGCTGCTCCCGCTTCTCCCGCGCAGCTCGACTCGCTCTGCGCTCCGCCACGCAACAGAACCGCGGTGTTCGGGTCGCCCTCGTGGCCTTTTCTCCCTTAGCATATTGAGGTCTAGGACCTGATTGGAGCTGAAAGGCAAAGGAGAAGGGCAGTCCTGGAGTGACCCTACTGCACTGAACAATGGTTTTTATTTAGCAGGAAGATCTGCAACAGTAGCAATATCTAAGTAAAGATTCTATTAATAAATCAGTAAAAGTGATACAACTGTACAAAGGCAAGAGGAACTTCTGGGTGGGATCCCTAGATTTTTGCATAGCAGTATTAGTTACAAGAATGAAACTATCACATATGGTATAGTTGTGATGCCATAAAAACTCATATAAATGTAACTAATACTCTAATAGGAGATCCCTGGTGAATCTTCTTGTACCAATGTGTTATTCCTGCAGGAACTCCCTGCCTCCTCCCCATGTCGGGAGATTGGCAAAAGCAAATTCACATCCACACTGTGCCTGATGCAGCTGCCCTTGCATCAGGCTTGTGCAAAACCCCCTTTCTCCCCTCCTGCTTGCTCTGGTAACAGCCCTGCATTGCCATTTTGGTATTAAAGAAGGGGTAGCAGTTTGAGGAATCAAGGAAACTAACTCTGCAGCTTTGACCCAGTTTTAGGTAACTGTCTGCTGCTCCGGGCTGCCGAAGCACTGGTTACATAACGCAGTCGGCATGGATTTGTTAGCAGGTTGTCTCTGCGCCCATCGTCCCCGTGGGCTGCTCTGCCATTGCACCTGCGTTAGCTGCCACTCATGCAGATCGAGTGAAATGTCTGATTTTGAGAGCTGCTCTCATGATGGGCCATGTAACCTCTGCCCTGCAGAAGTAGGGGAAATAAAGAATCACTTTCTGATGGCTTGAGAGTTGGCTGGAGCACAGCTTTTTATTATGATGCTGAATACAAGAGCAAGGGACTTGGCTGTGGCTGCCTGTAATTGCTTCTCCTTGAGCCCTCCTATAGAGGAATGTGTAATTTTGTGTCCGAGTTGGCAATGAACCTTGAAACACCTAGTTTGTTCATTTGCTGGGCGTGTGGACCAAGTTCTGTCTCATTCTCAAATGTGGTTGTGAAGTATTAGTGGAATCGAGTTGTGTTGATGGTATTTGTTACATGAGCCTGATACAGTGGTATAATAGGAGTAAAGTCTGTGGAAAAAAATAATTCAAGCCTATGGTATTCAATACCAGGTACACACTGTAAGGGTGTTCAGATGATAAATAGCATTTTGTATATTTTATGTAAATAATATGCTACGTATAATGTTCCTTACAGGACATAAGGATGCCCCCCTTTACAAAGGGGCTCCCTCCTGCACTTCATTTTCAGCAGTTTCAGTGTTTTGAGCCTAGGTCCCCACAGGGAGCCGTGGGTTTCATGAGGATGAGGGGCAGCAGAGATGGTGGGTAGAGCTCGAGCAGAGGAGCTTGTGTTTTGGTTTGCAAAAACCAAACCCTTCCTCAGAGCTGGGCAGGTGCCTTTAGCTGCTGCCTTATGAACAAGATCACTCTTTTCTCACAGAAACTCCAGAATAACTTGATGTTAATGCAATATTTTAGAAAAAGAATGCAATAAATGCTAGTTCATATTAGTTTTCAATGCAAGTCCAGATTTTATGCATGTTTCACATAGTGTGAAATATATCTCAGAGGGGAATAAGATAATCCAAGCATGAAAGAATGTTAAAGTTGTATTTAGATATCATGAAGCATGTCTTAAAGATGCAAACCAAAGAGAAATACAAGCAAGGCAGCTTGATCAGCACTGGAGTTATTTCATCTTCTCTTACCTTTGAATTTGTGAATTGCAAGATGTTTAGTCAAATAAGTAAATGTGAAAACTGCAATTTCTAGAGTACAAAAGCTGTAATGTTAGTTGCATTATTTACCCTTAGATTCCTGGGGTTTGTTATTAAATTACCTTGCAAAGTGTTAACATTACATAACTGTTAAGGGGTGGGGAGGTTCTGTTTTTGTTGTTGTTTGTTCCTTTTTTCTTGCATAAGGACTGTTGTAGTTCATATTAAGACATAGCAGTGGACCTGATATTCTCTGGAATGATGTTTGTGTCTTTCTTTCCTCTGGAAGAATAGTAGGTGCCATCAGTGAATGGGGAGCAATGCAAAAATATTCCGATTTTTTTCTTCTTTCCAGCTCCCTCATTTTAACTTAAAAGGGTTAAAAAATTGTGTGTCCTGAATATTCTTTCTGGAATCCATTATGCATGAAAAGGATCCGAGTCCATTTGCAGGACTTCTAAATGAGCTCCATTCATTCGGTGCTTAGAAGTGCCCATTCAGCCACAGTCACAATAGTTATAACCTAATTTCTTTGGCACCAACACTAGCTTATTAAAAGCAAAGAAGTTGTTATGAAGTACGGTAATTTCTCTGTGCTAGTTATATAATTCTTTATTAAAGTTCCTTTAGTGTCTATATAGTAATTACACATTCTTTGTGAATAGTTGCAATGTAGTAAGATTGACTTCAAGTTATTAAGCAGAGTAATGCAAACTTTGCAGCATTGGTTTGGAAACGTAGCTTGATGTAGCTTTGCTTATTTCAGTGCAGAACATGTGGAGGCCTCATTTCTGTATTTCAGGTAAGTTTTAACACTTGCAATGTGCAGCTAGTTGTGTTTAATACCAAATACTCTGTTTGGAGTGAAGCCGTTAAAAGGACACACGTTTCAGATGTCTATTACTCCCTTTTTTTTGACCTGGAGTTGTCACTTGTTAGGCCGAATGGAGGCCGAGAACCCCGATGCTGCAGCTGACAGAGCCAGTGGTCACATCTGACATTGGTGACCATTTGTTTGCTTGTGGCTGCCTGTAGAAATAGTGTCTTTTGGTAGCACTTGTCATCTTAGCAAGCGGCTGTTCTGCCTGATGAGACCTGACTGAGCATTTCCTTGGGCAAACTGTAAGAAATACTGTTTATGGGAAGTGTGCAAGTAGGAGTGGAGGGGTGAGGGGCTGATGGCAGGAAAAACAACTAACAGGAAAGGGTAAATAAAAAAAAATCATCTTCCTTGTGCTCAGTTCTTTATCTCACCGTCCTCCTGCTGGCTGCCTTTCCTGCAGACTCTCCTCCTCCTTCCGTCCCCTTGACGAGCCAAGTGCTCTGTTTTGTACATCCCCGGGATACCTACGCGGCGGGATGCACGGTGCCGCCTTGTCGGACCTGCCTTGTATCCCGCAGCTCTTGTGCAAGGTGCTGCTCTCCTGTTGCTGAGCTGGACTCATGTGCAAGTTGCACCTGCAGCAGGGCCTGATATGGCCTTGCACCTTCTGTAAGAAGGTTCTGGGACAGTTTGCAAAAAGGAAACTATATGAGGAAAAAAGCCTTGTGATATCACTCATAACTTACTGTTGATACTGTCAGTATTGTTGATAATTGACTTCTAATTTCTTTTCTTTAGGTACTTCGCATCGTGGTGGCTATTCCCACGATGCTGTGGTTTATGCCCTGCAAACATGTGGCATTCGTCATATTGACACAGCCAAAAGATACGGCTGTGAGTCCCTTCTCCAACAAGCCATCCGAGCCAGCGGGGTGAGGCGGGAGGAGCTCTGGATAACGACCAAGCTGTGGCACAGTGACTATGGCTATGAAAGCACAAAAAGAGCCTGCTTGGAGTCATGTAAACGACTCGGTGTTGAGTATCTTGGTATGAATCTTTATATTGCTCATGTATTGCACCTTCCAGGGAAGCACTAAGAAAGATAAATGAACTCCTGACTCAACTGTATGGTATAGGTAGATTCTGAGAGCTAATTTTTTTCCTTTATTTGCATGTTTACAACTTTATTGTTCTGTTTGTTCTATAGGATGCTCATGTGTAACTCAGAGCACAGAATAATTCCTAGTTGTAACTGTTGCAAATGTTTTAAAATGTTAAGCTACATCTTTGTGAAATTATGTTTCATTGTTAAATTGATATGAGGATCAGCTACATACCAATGAATCTGGTTCAGAAACAGCTGAATAATAAATGCCTGACTTGACACATCTTCTAAATCCCAAGGAGTGGACATCCTCTAAAACTTACAAAGTAAGACTACTGACATCTTTTGAAAAGCTGAGTAGCTGTCTTTGTTTTAATGTGATGCAGAATCATTTGGTGGAAATGTTTACAGGGTCTGGAAGCCTTCTGAAGATTAGATTTTGCTAATGCTGAATTGGACTTGGACGCTTTTGAATTTGAATTTACCCTCCTTGTAAACCCCTCCTGGTGAAAAACATGATACTTGTCACAGAAGATTCTATAATAGATGGATAAGGAGCTGTAATAATGACCCAGATGACAGCAATAGAGGTGCCTCCTAGAAAAAAATGAGAACTATTTTAAACTGTTTTTATTTCTTCCCTCCTAGCTGGAGCAATGCAAAGGAGGAGGGATAGAAGAAAGATAAATATGAAGTAATACTCTAAAATAATGACACTGTTGGGGATGGTGTTTATACTGAATAATGAAGAATAACTGATCTAACCATCAAACATCAGCTGGAATGTCCTGGAAAGCCTCATTTTGCTTCTCTCCCTTTCCATATCCTCCTGCTGCCAAGAAATGCATTTACATGAGCAAGCGAAAGCTTTTGCAAAAGCTTTTGCAGAGGAATTTACTGAGGGCAGCTGTGTGTCAGATTCACTAGGTTTTTGCTTCCATACCTTGGAAGATAAAGTAATTTTTAATACAAAACAAAAGAAACCCCAAACTATACCTGTTAAGACTTTGTATGCCTGTGTTTAGCTCCATTCTTTATTAAAATGCATCCTTTAGATTGCTGTATAGGTACAGAATCAAGCAAAACAAGTTAAAATACCTTTTGGTCTTTGCAGTGCAAATACAGGCCACTGCAAAGAGGCTTTTATGGGCAAAACTTCAACCCCTGACTTTGTCCTCTAAATGAAGAAATAACATGCTTCTCCTCCCTGCTTTCTACAGTGTTTTGTTGGGTCTTTTTTGTGCTTCTTTCTTCACCCTTCTGCTTGCTGGGGCACTGGCCCTGAATGCTGATGAGAGAAAACTTGACTTGATTCCAGGGGATCCTTTTCTGTTGATTCCTTTTACCTTTCTGTAACTTGATTATTTCCTGGGGTACTAGATCTTTACTACTTTTGCTCACAAGTACTTACTTTTGACATTTTGACATTGCTAAGCAGAAAGATGAGAGATGAGGAAAAATATCTGTGAGGAGGAAGAGCACTTGTTGCTGGCACAATGTGAGTTAGCTTTAAGTTTAGCCCTAGGTGTTCTGGTGAATTAGGCCCTTAGAGGGGGCAGTAAACTGTGCGTTTTGTGGGCTTATTAGCAAGTACCATGTGTCAGGGAGGCCTGTTCCTTCCAGAGCTCCTACAGGCCTGGGAACAGCCAGGTGGAAGATTCTCTTGACAGGATTTCCAAGCACAAATTAGCAGTGTCTCTGAACAGAAATTTTTCAAGTGTTTCAAGAACACTGAAAATGAGGACTCTTGCTTTAAATGTTAAGGCTTACCACAAATCTATCAAAAGCCACTGCAATGCAGAAGGTCAGTTTGCAAATACAGCTAAAGGTCTATAGAAATGAGCCTGTATATTCCCAGGTTTTAGTTGCTGAGCATGCTGCCTGCATTTCATGTTAGCTTTCTGCTAGCCAGTGTGCTGTGGAGAGGCCATGGAATCAGTAATGAGAAACGTTTTCATATTATGGCAATTTGTGTCAGGGTTTATGTAGGAAAGTTTTATGTACAAGTTAAAGCCAGCAATTCTGTGAACTCCAGTTCAGTTTCCTGATTCAGCCTGTGCTGTTAACCAGGTATATGATGGTTCTCAGCAGCTGGGTGTGTTTGTTTCTGGAGTTCCACCTGTGTGTGACCTTCAGCAGAGAAGGCACCAGAGCAATGGTAGTGCAAACTGTGCAGCTCTTGGCTCCAAAGAAAGTCCTGTTAATTCCCTCACGGATCCCGTTGGACTGCTGAGGTTGTGCCTGACGTTTGAACTGGAGACTCGGGGAATAATATAATAGGGATAGATGAATCTGCTTGTTAGCAGTATTGAAAAATGCTAGCTGTCAACACAGAGGGGAGGCAGCCTCTGCTTTTAAGAGAAGCATTTCACATAAAGTAGTTGTGGAGCCTTTTCCATAAAGGCTTGTGGGAAAGTGGAATGAGGAGAGCAGTGGTGCATGGTTTTTATTTGAATTGTTAGATCATATGTCCATGAGAAGCTGGAAATTTGTATTGTGGACAGTGGCTAGTACACATATTCTGCTGCTTGCGTTTTCTAGATGTGGTCCTCCAGCTGGCAGTTGTGACAAACCAATGTGAAATGGCAGCAAATATTATAGGTTTGGCAGTGGCAGACTGTGTTCCTTGGGATTTGGATGAAGGACCCAAAGGAACCGCTGGAATACGCTTTGTAGGTTACTGTATTCATAAACAATTTGAGTTTCCTTGTGGCTGTTTGCAATCAGTTGGATTCAACTAAACTTAACCTATTGCAGCTCTGCAGCTGGAGTCAAACAAGTAGTTGTTATATCAGTGTATTTGAGTAATAGAACTTGGCCATTTTTCACATCCAAATGACAATGAAATGCTCTGTTTGGACTGTGTATTAATGCAGAGTATTTTGGAGGTGACTTCAACAGAAAAGACAGGGCAAAAGAGAAGTACGTCTGCATAGTAAGTGTAGTGAAGATTGAGAACAGCAAGGAAAATAGTTATTGCACTGAGATAACCATGTGCTAATCACTGCAAAATACTGTTTTACTTCAAGTGTGTATAATGACCCCATGCCTTTGAATTAAAGGGAATCGTGTTGATTGTGGGTGCCACAACCACTAAGAAGTAACAAGCCACTCGACATGTAAAAATCAGTGTGAAAATAGTTCTCATATTAATGCTAGATTTCCCACAGTGCTGTTTTGGTTTTCTGACATTTGGCTTTAGGCCCCGCTACAGCTTGATTGCCTTTAAAGAGTGCTTAAAAAAGCTGCTAAATACAGGCAGGGTTGTGAGTGCTGTTGGCTTTGCTGCCCTCGCTGAGCAAAAGCAAGTGTGTGGGTGTAGGTGGGAGCGTGGGTATAAAGGAAAATGAAATTGGAGAGCTGCTTGCTGCTCTTACTGGCCCCCACATACTGTGGGAAACCTAACAGATGCTGGGGGAGTAAACAGGTCCTCATTAATCAACTGTTTAGTTTATTAACCAGAGCGGCAGCTCTGTCCCTCTGTGTCCGTCCTGGCCCTGCTGTGCTGCTTGGCAGGGCTGGGCCGTGCTGCCCTGCATCTGAGGAAGATGGACTTGGTCTGCTGTGACTGCTGAGTGCCCTAATAAAACTGGGAGAAGTTTGGCCATCCCCTCTTTGTCATCTGGATCCGGCTCCTCAACAGCTGATCTTGGGTTTTATACCTTTTCCTACATCTGTAGTATATTTCAATATGCAAAACTCTGGATTCTTGGTATGAGTGAAATACTTACTTCGATAGTATTGCAAGGATGCACACAAACGTGTCCCAGTGTACAAAACTGAATTTGATGTTACTCTGTGCTTGTAAGTGAAGGTTTGAATTTGCATTTGTAACCCTTCAATTTGAAAATGTTTACCATGAGAAAAATGAGGCCAACACCTGTTTTGTTGGCATAGCTGCTGTTACCTGCTGAACTTGTGGTTAGCATTTAAGTAGAAGTGCAGTGGCTTCCAAAGCTTCTCTTTCAGAATGCCAAAAATGTCTACGAACCTTTAAAGAATTTGTGAATCCCATCATTTTGAAAAATTGGAACATCTCTGTTGAGAATCTAAATAGTAGGTTTACTAGATCCTCTTTGGGCAGTCAGATTTGGAGTTCTGAGTCCTATATATGTGAATCTATCCTTTTTAATTCTATATAGCAAACTCTTCATTTTTGACTATGAGGATAGGTTTTCTTTTCTAGTGTGGAGGTGAGAAAAAAAATGCTTTCCTGAGACAACCATTTGCAGCAGCACCTTGAATAAATTCATCAGCTGCAAATATTACTTGTGTTTGAAAATGTGTTAGCCTTTCATAGAAGGTAAGAAAACACAGTTGTGTACCATAAAAATTGCGTTTTTTGCTATGGTAAGGAATAGCAAGCATGAAATTATAATCCCCCCCCCCCCCCCCAAAAAAAAACCCTCCATGGAAGAATGGTTGTGCTGTAATTTCCAAGATAAATACATAAATGGTAGTATTCTTCAGAAAAGAAAAACAGGCCTGCTGCTGTGGTTGTATAAAATATCTCTAGAAGTGCCAAGCATATTTGTCTTCCCTAAAGTTCAAGACTTCAGTGTTTCAGCAGCAGTCCAGTCTTATTCTAGTGACCAAAAGCCCTTAGAGTTCAGAATTTAAATCCTGTGGGGCTGTGAAACTCTCATTGCAGGGGCTGAAGCCTGAGACGTGTGTTGACTTCTGACATCTTCAGTTGTTAATGAACTGTTGTGGACTTAGTGTATTGAAAATAAACTAAATGTGATGATTGTGGAGTAATAATTATAACTGTTTTCAAGATAGTATATTAGAAACTGTAATGGATGAAATATACTGCTTTACACAGTGTTGTCTTTTGTTTTCCTTTTTTAGATAATCTGCTAAAGATTCTGGTTGTTTCTTTTTCAGATCTGTATTTGATACACTGGCCTGGTGCACATGTTCCAGGTAAAAGCAATCGGGAGGTCCGAGCTGAGACCTGGAGAGCCATGGAGGAGCTCTATGAGGAAGGTAGTGCAATCAGGAAAATCGGTCTTGGCAGAAGGAGTTAGGAGCATTTGGAATTTGGGGGAATTCATTGGCAGAGACGTTCAAAATGTTTATTCATGTTGGACCCTCAGACTTCAGTGGGACTTGGATGTTTACGTCTTGTGGATCTCAAAATTGCAGCCTTACTAGTCTGGTGAGCTAAATGAGAGCTTTGTATTGCTTGTAAATAATACGTTGCCAAATTGTGCTCCTGGGGTGAGTAATGTTGTATACACTTTCCTGAGGAAACCTATGGATTATATCGAAAACTTTATGCTACTGTAGAATATTTTTGTGTTAGCCTGTTCTATTTTAAGTATAAATCGTGCTACCTAGTTTTACTTCCTTTTAATCTCTCTTTTTTTTGGTATGGTGCTGTTTTCCACTCTATCATATATTAATATGTTGTGGTACTTTAGATCTTTGTTGCTTGTGGTTTAGAAAAGGTTAAGAAAGCAAATTAGATGCAACATGTATATTGGCTTTTTTTGGTAGCTAGCTTTTTAATGGGGGTGTGGGCGAGAAGCTTTTCCAAAGGAGCGTCCTCTTCTCCCAAATCTGAGTGAAAAATATTGATTTATTTTTGGTGCCAGCAATCTTCAGCTTACATTCATAGCAATAGGAAAGAGAAGATTGTGCCAACCAAAATTTATCATGTAGATTTGAGAGAATGATTTTGCTCCTTATTTGTAGTCCAAAGAAGTCCTGTGGCCCGTAGCTTGGGAGAGGAGCAGCTCTTGGGCTAAGTGGGCTGCCTGCTAACCAGAGTTACTGCAGAAGGGTTTGCATGGGGACGGTGGGATTGTCCCACAGGCGGTTGTGGGCCATGTTGCGCCACGATGGGTTGTATCAGAGCAAGAAACAAACCCATTCCTCCTCCTGCAGCACCTCAAGTACTTCTGGGGCACCTCTGGAAATACAGAAGTAAAGTGTCCAGGAAGTTGCAAAAATGTTTTCCATCCTGTAAGAGATCACAACGTTCAGTTTTTAAAGAATGACTAGACCAACCCTAAATCTCAAAGCATCAATGACTTCAGGTCCTTAGATGAGTTATTCTATCATCTATTTAATCTTTCTATTGAAACGAGTTCTCACTGATGAGTGTTTCAGTTGGTGCAGGACATTTGTGCCTAGATATTTCATCCCAACTTGAGACACATAAACTGGAGGAAGCTTTCACCTTTTATTTTTATTGCCTGTCCCTTTGTCTTTATTCTACCCTTGCTTGTGTGTGTTTGTGATCTTTCTTTTCTGACACAACTGTTTTTCTTTCTCTCTCCTTCTTCTCTTTATCTTCCTATTAGGAAAGATTGTGAATTACTCAAGGATCTTTCGGTAAGACACTGGAAATGCCATCACTGGCCTCAGAGAGGAGGAGAATTATATGTTGTTTCTCTGTTGTAACTCTTCTTTACCAACATCTCAGATGTTTGTGTTATTTTCTTTTTTATTTCATTTTGCTATTGCATTTCTTCAGGAGGTAGCAATGTGCAAATTGAAGAAATGTTCTTCTCTAATCTGAAGCTTTTTACAGACTTATACTCATGTATGCTCACTTATGAGTTTTTCACTCCTGATTCTCTAACTTACCTCAGGTAAGTTTTCCTTCTCCTGCAGACCATGTATTAGCATAGTTGAATCAAGTGCCTTAGAAGATGAACTGCCACATTTTTGCTGGAAAGGATATAGGCTCTGGATGTCCTGACCATAAACATGTGTTACTGGAACAATATGCTAATGTTAAACATTCTGGAGATGGAAATGCAGTGATTCCTGAGGAAAATATTAAATAATTCATTTGCATGGTTAACCACTAAACGTTCTGTGGAAGATTAAACACTGCATATCTTTATATGACTTGGAATGTGTTAGGTGAGTAATTTGTCAACTTTGGTATAATTTTAATATATGAATTGGTCAAAATCGTAACCTGAGAGAGAAAACAGCTTGAGGAGGAGGAATTCTGTTGAGTATGCAACCTATTTGTCTTCTCTGAGCTTTTTTAAACTTTTTAAAGCCTTCTCGGGACATTGCTTCAGATAGTCATTGGTTCCTGCTTGCAGTATCATGATTTTTTTATATTAAGAAATCTTTTTTTCTGAGAAAAAGAAAAGCCCTAAAATTGAGCCCTAGGGTTCAATTCTAAGCCCTTTAGGAGGACTGAGCACTTTAGAGTTAATGATGTGCTTATGCAGTCAGTTCATAAGCTAAAGATTGAAACTGTTCAACTTGCTGTTATGTTTAACAATCAGCTGTGTCCACACTGAGTTTCTGAAAATGCAATGACAATTAAACACACTTCTCCATGGAAAAATGGATTGTGTTGGGGAATAATAATTATCTTTGTGTAAGAGAGACTGTTAGAAGTTCTATGTGTGGACCTAAGGTGCTGGTCTGTGTAAAGGTAACAAGCTTTTCTTAAATGACTTCCTTGTACTCACAGCTAGTTTGAGTGCATTTATTTGAAACTCTTAATCTTTTCACTTCAATTTACGCCTGCGTTAATATTTATTATGCAGAATTCCACCTAGCTAGACCAAGCAATCTTCTAAAGTAACATAATAGGCTTTTTTAAAACCCCAGAAGGTGGTGAGTACTGTTGGCAAGGACTGTAAGACTTCAGTGGAGTGTTTTAGGCTTGTATTAAGTTTTAGCTTGATAACAATGGTCACAAATGTCCCAAAAAAAAATCCAGTTGGACAGAAGGTGAAAATAGTGACTAAGCACAGTCTGTAGATGCAAATAGTTTGGAATGATGCTCAGCTGAATTTGGGTTCCTTTAATACTGAGTCCTGTTGGGGAGAGAGCATGCAAACCTGACTGCCATGTTTCTCTGTGGGCGCTCTGGCTCTCTGTGTCTCCCTGAATTTGACTCTCCGGTTTCTCCCGAGTCCACCTTTCCTGTCTCTGGCTCTCCTATGTCTACTGCTCCTTGTCTGTTGCCCTGTACTCATGTGTTAAAACACTGCCTTTACCAAAAGTGTGTGCTTGGTGTTTTTAACACAGGAAAGAAAAAACTCTATATTTGCAACCCATAGCACTTCTGCAGAGTGTTACTGACTTGGTGGCTTTCTGGTAACATACAAGGGATTGGCAGCTCTTATTCCGGTTGTATCATATGGCTCTCAGTTTGCAAACCTCTCATTTGTTGAGTTTGCCTTTTAAATTGCCACGTTGGTCCCCAGAGCTTCTCAGGATGGACAGGCAGAGCACATGGCATCCTGCTGAGCTGAGGTGTGAGCACCTGGCAGAACCGCTGCTCAGCAAACGGCCAACTGCAGTGGAGAGAAACTGCTGCTCTTCACAGCGCATCCACAGTCACTGCCTGGGAGATGTGGCCTAAAAAAGCCTCTCAAAGACAGATTGAACCTGGGTTCATCTCGGGGGCAGTGGGGACACAGGGCTGCCACAACACAATGTGTGGAGCCTCTGGACTGAAGTGTCATCTCTCCCTGCCAGCTTGGGTGGGATCAGGGTGCTTGGCTCTGCCAAGGTAGGTGTGTACCAATATCTACAAAAGTTTGCCTCTAGTTAATAAAGCCTCTGTGTGAGCTGTTCAAACAAATCTGAAACACTTGCCAAAATTATTTGCAGAGGTGTTTTAGGGAGCAGATAACTTAGGCGGAAAACTAAGAGCGTCCTCACCCAGTAATGAATCCACTGTTAGGAAACAGTCTTGCTGCTGGCCCAAGGCTGGCATCTCAGGAGCACACTCGAAAAAGTGCTTTGCATTTTAGCATTCTCTGCCTGCTGCTTGAATCTGTGGTCGAAATGCCTAATGCAACCAAGCAGCTATCTCAAGATCTCATGTTAGATTAAGCATTTTCCCAGACTTCCAGGTGTTTTCCTCAAGGGAGAACATGACACACAAATAGAGCATGCCTGTTCTTGCAGAAAAAAACAGATAAAGAGATTCTGAAGCCACTGTTGCCCCTTACAGCAAGAAAAATGTGTGTCTATGTTAAAATAACCCCTGCATTTTTTTTCCACTTTTTTTTATCCCTGTGGGTTGATGTCTGGGACATGGTCCAGTATCTTTCTGGTTTGCCTTTGAACTACAGAGTCTCTGGCTGGCTGAGCATGTCAGTCTTTCATGTTTTCCTGCCTAACTCCTCCAGTATATTTTTAGTCTGTTAAAAGTCCTCCCAGTTACTTTTCTTCTTGTTTCTGATTTTTTTATGATTTTCCTCCTTTGTCCACAAGTAAGGGAAGGTTAAACCTTTAGCCAGCTTAGCATTCCTATCATATAGCCAGACTATAGAGTCTAATGATTAAAATTGTTGGTTTTCCTTTAGTATTTTTAGGAAAAGATGTAATAAGGTCCTAATCAATGAAGTTAGGAACTTAATGCAAAGCTATAGCAGTTGCATTATTCCATAACAAGAATCAAAAGCTGTAAATTCTAGATCAAGTTTCAAAGTTATACAGAAATAGTACTATTTTACACAGTAATCAGTTATACCACTGTGAGAGTCATCTGCTGATAAGAAAGGGCTCATGCAGACCAAGGTGAGAGCCATTTAGATTCTACTCAAAACTGCATGTGCATTTTCAGTCAGCGTTTGGGGACAGAGTGCTGAGGAGAAAGGAGGACAAGCTCTTATTTTGGTCAGTGAGAGGTTTCTGCAGAAGAGCTGGCTCTTCCTGTTGTAACAGCTGAAAGCAACTAGGATTCTTGAAGCCCCAGGCCTATGGTTTGAGTTGCTGTGGTCTCTAAGGCTCTAATTTGCCCAATTCTCTTCTGTGATAGCTGGGATGGAGGCTTGGCTGCCTGCGAAGCCCATTCCGAGGCGCTTACGTCGTGGCAAATGTTCCCTCTCCGTCTGCAAAATGACCCGTCCTGAATGCAGCGAGCGCCTGCGATGCCGCCGCTCGTGGCAGCGTGGCGGGCCCACCGTTTTGGGAGGCTTCTCTGCACATGCTTGTGATTCTTTGTGCCTCCCATGTGAAAACACTGGGGGAATGAGGGCCTCCGGGCAGCTTTTGTTGGTCATGCAGTTTGCCTCCCATGGGGACTCGGTGTCACTTTGCTAAATGTAGAACTTCTTGCTGTCATCCCCTAGCGTAAGCAGTGCAGCTCATGCTTGTGTGAGTTGCTTATACCTGCACTGAAAATTCCTTAATGTGTTAATATATTGGAGAAATTCCTTGTATTTCCACCAGCTTTTATTAATATCCTTGTTTTTCATCTTTGGGCGTGGACCAGTGCAGTCATCAGCTTTCCTTCCTGCTTTGTCTGTCAATTCTCAAAGGAGAGAGGCTGAGTAAGCCAAATACATTTTTTTGATGTATGTATGTGTGTGTGGGGGTGACACAATGCTAGGACGTCCTTTCCTAGATGACACATTCTGTTGTAAACGGTGTCCTACTGAGGAATTGCTCTCTGCCTGTGCTGATGGAGAACACATCCTCATTCACAAGCACTAGTATTACATTTCCACAAAAGATTTGGCTTAAGAGTGAGTGTGTTGGTAGAAATCCTGTGTACGTGTCTGTGGAAGCTGCACTGAAGTGTTCACAGGTAAAAGCAAGGAACTGCTTTTCGTAGGAACACCAATCTCATGAGTGTCTCTGTATTCTCTCTGCTTATATAAAGATGTCTGGGCTTGTTATTACCAGAAAAGCAATTGAGGAAAAGTGTTTTCTCGGGTTGAGGGTGCTTGCGTTGGTGAGGATGTTGTACCACACCCTGTTTATCAGATAAGACTGCTCTGAGACCCGTGCAGAAAAAAGAATCACTACTGACTTTTCATGTTTAAGATCAGAAAGAAGTCATAATGTGAAACGCACTGAAAGATTCAGAAGAGTAATAAATTGCAGTTTGGTGCAGATATAAAACTGGAAACAAATCTAAACTTGGAGGATTGACTATCCTTATTTGTTACTCTTCATTGTTTATTTTATTTTATTTTATATTGTATTTTTTATATTTTGTCTTTTTTCCCTGTAATTAACTTTATTTCTGAAGGTGAAAATAAGCCCTCAGACTTCTTTGGTTAATGATGCAGAGGTTCCAGGGTGGACCCAAGAGTTTCTTGGAAGAAGCTACTGTTGAAGTCTCTTGCAGAGGAGAGTCTTGCCAAAAAAAAAAAAAGTCTGGATCAGTAATGTACCCAATGTAGGGGAAAGGCATCACTTATCTCTCTTTTGCAAATGTTACTTTCTTAGTTTGTGTCTTTCCAGTCATTTGTGAGCTGTTGCTTTGAACAGGGGCTGCAGAGTGACCTGGTTATGAAACCTTGGTTTTAGGTTCCTTTCTTTTTTTTTTGGCTGTGCTCTGTTTACAGCATGACCCTACACGTGTAGGGCTGGCACAAGAGAAGGGGAAGTCTGCTGAAGTAGAGGGGAATTGATTCAGCTTTGAAAAGAACCACCCACGACCTTTTTGATGGCAGCCTCAGCTGATGGGATCGGGATTGCCTGCTCGCCCGGGGGAGAACTTTGCCAGTGTCACTGAGATGCTGCTGCTCTGAAGTGGTGAGGATGAGCAGCCCGGGTCAGAGAGACCGCCAACACGTTAAGCTGGTTTTGCTGCCTTACACTAGTTGGTTAACACAACAGCCTAATTGCTGCCTGAATTTTTGTAATGGATTTTCGGCCATGGGAGGTAACAGTTTGTCTGCTCCTCTTACCCTTGGACTGCTGCAATTTTCAGGTGGCCTGTAACAGGAGGCAGAGTAATGGAATTGCAGTAGCAGGAAGGTCATTTTGAGGCTGATACTGCACCTCTATTGCTGTGGCAGGTAGGGTAGGAGAAAAGTCCCTTGGGGGCAGAGGTGTGAATGCAGCGGTTGGCATTCGGATCCTGTTGTCAGTTTTGTCAGTCTTCCTGTGGTGACTTTGGACACAGGACTAAGCATTTTGGCTTAGTCAAAAGACAGGACTTAGCCTTGAAGACAGGACTTAGCCTTTTGGTGTCTGCTTTACATTCTGTAAAACAGGAACAAGCCATATTTCATAGATTTAAAAAAAAAAAGTAATTCCTAATTGGCTGTATCCAAAGACACATCTGCCTGCTTGAAGGCTTTGACTTGCAAGCTGCGTGTTGCACATTCAGCCTGCAGCTTTAGGAAGCTGTGCTAGAATCCCACCCCTCTTCAAACAGTATTGCTCATGAAAACCAAAGTGAGGCTTTTAATCCTCAATATTCCAGTTGGTCGCAGAAAATGTGGACCTTTCCAACCTGTGAAATGTCTTGGAATGGAGATGCTGCAGTTGGCCTCTTCTGAAAAGAGGATGCCTTTGTCTTTCTACTCTGTGGCTCAAGTAGATCCACCCCGTTTGCTGAATGTGAGACTTCTGCTGTGCCCAGGTTGATGTCAAGCGACAGCATGGGGAAGGAACACTGGCTCCACAAACCCAGTATCCAGTTTTTTTATTAAAAAAAAAAATCTGCACTTGGTACAGTTAATATTTCAGAAGGTTTTTAGAAGTCTGATAAAAGTCTGTAGTCCTGCTTGGGAAAGATAAGGTTTCCTATTGTAATAAAACAATGTTGTGGTGCCAAGGCAATATATTTATGCTTTACTGTGGCAAGACTAGTTTTGTCCATCAAACTCTTTAATTTGGTGTTGTACTAAGTGAAAGAACTAAAAAAACCCCACTAGTTCTCTAACCCATTAGCTTGAGGTGTTGCTTCATAGCACTTGGGACTAATGCAGTCTGGTCAAATTGCTCCTCTGTATGCTGGAGGCCAAGATGATTGTGTGTGTAGTAAGGACATTAATTCTTCAATTATGATCAGCTTTTATTTTAAAGGCCAATATGTTTTCAAATTTCCCTTGCAGAGTTTCATGACAGTTTTCCTTACGGCCTGGTTTTCCTTCAGTCTCTCAAGTCAGAGTCCCAAGGAGCTGGGCCAAACTTCACCAAGTCTGAGGAGCTGGTGGGGACTTGCAGCCTTGTTGCTCATTGTACCTGGCACTGTCTCCAAATCTGCTTTGTGTGGGCCAAACCACTCTTCTTCAAGAAGATATGGAGGACGCTTTTTCTCCCAAGTCAAAGCTTTGTGACTGTAAATAAGACTGTATAAATATGTGCATTAAGAGTCTACTTTTGGAGGTATTTTACCTAGTATGCTTTACAGCAACCTGGGGGTTCTTGAAATTCAGCTCTTGCTGACTTGATGAAGTCAAAGGAAATAGAGATTTTTCAGAGTAGATGTAACACACTTTATGAATCTTACAGCCTCCAATTGTAGCAAAACCGACTGTGTTTTTCAGGCCTCTTTGGCATAAGGATTTATTAGTGCTGATGCTCAGGTGTGTTTGCCAGCAGAAGTCAAAAGCTCATGTTGCAATTGGGACAGATTAAATAGGAATTACACAGCTGCTGTAATGTAGGTTATAACCTGATTATGTTACACATCTTGAGCAGTGATCCTATCTGTAAGTGAAAGCTCTGTAGTGTTTTACTGGTTAATATGTTTTTTTACCTTTGGATTCCACAGCAGAAACCACATAAAACAGTGACAGTAGGCATGCAGGTTTTGCAGACCTAACTGCTTGCGCCACCACAGCATGTAAAAGCAGTGTTGTAGTAGAGTTTCCTATGTTTATATGGTTGGTGGCTTTTCAAATACAAAACTTATTTTTCAGGGTTTGAACAATGTGGGTATAATAGTTAGCAGCAAAGTGTAACTTCACTTTTGGAATTTAAACTGAGAGCACAAGAACAATTTCATTTCTTCATTTTGTCCAGTTAAGTTGAACCTGCAAATTCCAAGTATATTGCAATCCTATATTATTTTTAAGTGGCAATTTAGTCGTCTTGTGAATTACTTTATCATGCATAAATGTGCATTTTAAAAATTTTAGGTTAGCCTAATTTATTTCCCACCAGCACTTTATCTTTATTCAAGGTGAAGGTAAATTTTTCTTTGATATGTATTAATAACATTATTGTTGCAGATGCACATGCATATGCATAGAAGACATGCACATACATCTTTCAGTATTGGCTCGGGAAAAGGTTGAGTTAAACACAGTGATTGAGCTGCTGTATTTGTACAACTTGAAAGCAGCTTTCCATCTGGAGAGTTGCTAACTGAGATCCCTATCGAGTCAATGAAGACAGAAGTTCACAGATGAAAGAAACAAGGCTGATTTATAGTCCACAGAATCCACAGGCCAAAGAGCCCACCGCTGGCCTGACCACGCTTGGTTTCCATATTAACTCTCTTAGGGCAGAATGAGACCCAAACTGCTGAAGAGTGGTTGAGGTTGAGGTGCAGCAGCAGGTCGTGGTTGGGAACTGTGTGTTATCATATCAGGGTTTCAAAGAAGGCATCTGATTTCAGGGCTGTCAGCTCTTAATTGACATGCAGGCATATGCACTTGAGGTTTATTTTAAAAATAACCCTCGTGTCATCTATGTGCATTTTGGCTTCAACAGGAGTGAAAAAACCTAGCAGTTGTAGATTATTTTTCCTACAGTTCATATCTTGATTTGTGTTTAATTCTATTTTTTAACTGCGTTCTTTTGTAGCATCTGTGTAATACATAGCAATGTAACAGAAATACAGGCAGGGTTACGCAGTTCATTTGGACTGCCTGTCCTTGTGTTTGTTACTCACACCTTATTAGTCTTCTGCAAATGTTCTACTTTTCTTTAGCCTTGGCAAGCGGCTCAGAACACCATTTCCTTCTTTTCATTCGGGTGAAGTGCAATTGTTCTTTGCTTACACTACATTAGCCTTTCCCAGAATTTAGCTTGGAGTTTTTATACACTGGGGAGCTTCCAGTGTGTTTAGATTATAAAATGGTTTCCTAGAGTGGCTGTGACGGAGCTGTGCCTTCAGATAATGCCGTCAAACTGGATTTCAAGGGTCTTTTTTTGGTTTGTTTGTTTCTGCTATAGAGAATGGATGCAGTTGCAGGCATTTAGTGCCTTGAAAGTGGTGTTTTTCATGTTATCCTCCAAACAGTGAGGATTGCCCTACAACATTTTCTTGTTCTGTTTCTCTCATTAGGTTTATGTAGATCAATTGGTGTAAGCAACTTTCTTATCAGGCATCTTGAGCAGCTAGAGGAAGACTGTGCGATTATCCCACATGTCAATCAGGTGAGTGGATACATGCCTATCAAGGATTAAAAGTTTGGTGGATTTGTTTCTAATAGCCTTCACCTGTACCTGAAAGACACCTCCATCAGCCTTATGGGCAGGTTGATCATGTTAAAGCATCAAAGTCTTCCAGGGTTCAGCCGTGTGTCATCTTCATAAATGCACATCTCCCGAGCTGGAATGCAGTTTGGCTGAAATGCTTACGGCCCTTGAGTGAACATAGCCTTTCAGTGGCTTAATAAATCACTACACGTGATCACTACAAATAAATAAATAATCACTACACGTACCAGACCTTCTAGCCTCCCTCATGCCCCGCGAGAAATAATCAAAGACAAAATCTTTCCCAAAGTATTCTGTAATGTGAAGAAATCTTCGCTATATTGATTCATTAAGCTGCCTACTTTTTTTTAAACAAACTTTATTTCTCGGTACAAAGTATTTGCAGACAATTGTTGTATAGAAACTAATTATTAAAAAGACAAATGAAGGAAAATAACTTTCCCATCAGTCCTGCTAAAATTGCATGAAGAATTGAGGGTGTTTTCTCAGTCCTGCCAGTTCTCAGTTATTTTTCTGTGCTGTAGGAAGTGGGAAGATGGGAGAAAAGCAGTTCTATATCAGACTGTAGACTTCACAAAATGGGTAGTAAGCCCTGCATCCCCTTTTGGTTCCTGACTGAAACAGTTTCATCATGTTCGTTACCAAAGTGGGAGAGAGGAGGCTTTCCAAGAACTTAGGCTTGTTAAGGCAAGTAGGAGCAAGTAAGCAGCTTTTAAGATAACCAATTATTATTTTAAAAAATACTGTGAATCACTCTACAGAAAACCACAATAAGTATTTTGTTCTAGCATCATACAGAATGAAGCAGCGAGCCTGGCAGCTCCCTGTGGAGATCCCAGAGTTTGTAGCCAACTTGGCACTGCTGAGGCTGGATCTGTGCTCAGGGGAGCTACAGCCTCTTTGAAGATCCTTATGATAATCACTTATTCCTAAGAATTTAATTTGTGTACATTTTGTTTAATATATATAAATGTATAATCACATACTGAATCTAGATATCAACAGTTTATCTCCTGCTTCCCTGACTGAGGGGTATTTCTCAGTATTTCTCTGCCTTTGTACAAATGCAAGTTGCTGCGTATCAAGCTCAGAGGGATTAGGGATTAAAGTAATGTTATTATCTGTGATAGCATTGAGCTTTATACCCAATTGAGTAAACTTGCACAGGGCAGAAGGGTATTAATTCTGAGGTCTCAGGAAACAGACTCTTTGAGGATTAGCTCTACAGGAAAAATCATTTCTGGGCTTAAAATAAAGGAAGATGGTTATAAAATTGTGCATTTTGCTTGAGAAGCTGACTGCAGTGCAGATGCAGAAAAGAGACCTGCAAGGTGGTGCAAAGACCAAGGTCTGATACTGGTGGCCACACAGTCATTGGGCCCAACTCTTCCCCTTGTGCCCAGGCTGCCCCCAAAACGCCTTGCAGCAGGTGGTGTAGAGTCAAATGCTGAAAAATCTTGGTTACTTAAATCAGTCCCCCTCAATATTTTCTACTCTGTGCTGTGTGTTACCCTGGATGCTGTTTTCCTGTTCTGGTCGTGACGTAGCCTGATGGGAGCGCGGAGTTGGGCCTGCCCTGCGTTTGCTCCCACCGGATCCTGGCAGGAGCCGCTTGCTCGGCCTGTCTCCTCCTCTTTGCTTTGCATAACGTGTGATTAGAATATTTTCTAGCCAGCTCAGGTGCAAGAAAAGTTAATAATGTATGACCTAAACCCTAGGCTTGCAGACAGAAACATGAAAGACGCGGGCCACGCAGAGGTCAAGAAACATCAAAGGTTGAAGGCATGGATGTGTCTGCTGCCTGAACCTTGGTCCCCAGTCCACCCCGTAATTTGGGCCCTGGCAGCTTTGGCTGACTCAGCCCAGGCTCCGAGGGACACGGGGTTTTCTCAGCGTGTTGGCTGGGCACCAGCCGATTGTTCCCGGCTATTGTTGTCGCAGAAGACACCGTGTCCTCGGGATGAGAAACAGGAAAAGGTCCTTGGGCCCTTTTATGGCAGGAGCGCGTTTCCAGTGCCGCGGCGCTGAGGTAACGGCTGCGCAGAGCGTTTCCTCGCGCGCAGCCGGGCCTGGGTGCCCCGCATGCCTGCTCACGGTCACCCAGCTGAAGCTGCATCACGTGCTGCTCTGCTGGGTTAGCAAAGAAAACGCCATCGCTTCCATCCAAGGGCAAAGGAAGGGGTGTTTCTAGCACTGCGCACGCTGTGGAATGTTTTTTTTAAATAATAAGGAATAATAAAGAGGTTCAGTTTGGCCTTGGCTAAATGCCAGGCTACTTGACTGTTTTGAAATCCTTCTTGTCCCCCTTTACTTTCCAATAACCTTTGTTTTCTTTTGCTTCCAACAACTAGCTATTGTGAGACTTTTTCTCTCTCGCCTGGTTCTTGGTAACTCGCGGTCTTCCTACCGTGGTCCCCTCCTGCCTGGCTCTGTGTGCAGGGTCTTCTGGGCACCCGCTCCAAGCAGACATCAGACCTGGTCCTGGTCAGATCAATCCATTATACACATGCATATAAGCAGTAGTCATTTCATGTATTTTTAAGAAGATGAGGAAAAAATATTATTTATTAGTATTAACAGTTTCTCCTAAATGTACTCTTATTTATCTAAGGTTTCTTATCTAAGAAGAAAAATTCTTCTTATTTATCTTAGGTTGAATACCATCCTTTCCAAAGACCTCAGGAGCTGGTAGATTATTGTAGGAACAAAAATATTGTTTTTGAAGGCTATTGCCCTTTAGCCAAAGGTGAAGCCCTCACTCATCCTACTGTTATCCAGCTGGCCAAGAAGTATGGCAGAACTCCAGCACAGATCTGCATACGCTGGAGTATCCAGGTAATGGAGGGTGGCAGTAAAAACAACCTGGCTCACAAAATGTAAATAGTTTCGTTTCTATACATGGATCTCAAACTTATGCAGAAAGGATTGTTGCCTTTAATGTGCATGTGTCCCATGAGCTGTATTGGAAACTTGGAAGGAAGAACACAAAGCATGACATGTTTTACGTGTGTGAAGATTGCAGAGTGATAAAAAGGAACCATTGATAAGAGAGACTTTTCAACCAGATGTCGCAATCAACCAGGGGCTTCATTCCCTTTCTGTAGCTCAACAGAAAGCAGAGAGCAGTGAAACAAAGTTTTGAGTTGACATATACCATGCAATCTGTGTTGGAATTAAGCCCAGTGTATGTAACTGCAGTTAAAAGAAGTTACGTGTGGAAAGGTCAGTGACCCCTAGAAGGAAAATGAAAACCTCAGAAAGCATAAAGAATGTATGGAAATGTTTTGAAAATGAGATTATTTTCCTTGAAACTGTCTGTGAGTTTTAATGATGAGGTGTTTTTCAGAATGGGATTGTCACTATTCCAAAATCCACAAGACCAGAAAGGGTACAGGAAAACTGCAAGGTAAGATTTGGTTGCACACTCAAGTCTGAGTAATATCCGAATTATTGTTGTTTTAGTACTTGGAATGCCTGCCTATTTTCCTATTCCAGTTTTACATCAGGCGAGTCGGTTAAAATTGTCAAATTATAGTAGCATCAAATTATAGTAGCATTAAATTACTGCAATGTAGGCTAATACCATAATCCACAAATCTCAGAAATCAAATGGGATTTTAATTACTATGCAGGAAAAAGATATCCTCAAAGAGAACTTTCATAGATGATTTTATAAGTCATGTTTTTACTACTTGGATGGTGACAGAACAATACATTGCAGCTATGAATAGGTCCTTTTTTGATAGGTACACAACTTAAATGGGAAGATCCTTTTTTTCTTCACTTTACACCCAGTGTCTTTAATTCATATCTCCTTCTCTCTAGTTCTCTGATTTGAAGGAGTGTCATCTTGGGTAATGTTATTCTGTTGATACCTCCAAACATATTTTAGGGATAGGAATTGTTCTGCAGATCAGGAACGAACCCTGCAAGAAAGCAGGAATCTTCTTGCCTTCAGCCCGTGGCTGTGTGCATGTTTAGATTTACCCAAACACCGAAGTTTTCTTTTGGTGGCTGCACTTGTTGTACAGCTCCTGCCCTGGCTGCTTATTCTGCTTTCTGTGGCAGAGCTGTTTGTGAACTGAATCAGAGAACTAATTTGGGTGAAAAATCCCTCCTTCCCCTGATTACTTTGCACCCAGATTAATTAGGCGCTTTACAAAGTTTACTGTGTGGCTCTACTAACTAGTTCAGCACAACTGAGGGTTTGTATTTCGGCAAAACCTGAAACACTTGGGTTGGAAGAAAAGGTGGCACAGCTACCTGACCCCATTTCTCCCCTCCGCCTTTCATTTTCCCTCTTGCCCTTACCCAGTGGATTAGCTTAAGTCTGGGCCATTTCTGGTCGGCTTTGGGCAAAGCATGGACGTCACTAAGCCCTGACTATATAATATATAGTGTTTCTATCCAAGCGCTGGCCCGTGGTTTGTGTTTCAAAGGTTGTGTGCCAGGAGGCAGAGCTGCCCGGGCTGAGGCGGGACTGGAGCTGCTCCTCTGGCAGCACTTCAGGCTCCGCCGGATTTTTTGTTGGGCATGAAGGAGCTCTGGCAATTGCTGCAGAGACTTCAGAGCAGCCCTGCTTTTGAAGTGATAATATGTGAGTAACACACCTGCTAGGAAAACACTGGCACCAGCATGCACGCTGTGGGAGACACTGACACTCGCACTGCAGGAGAACTTGGTGGCCCTTTCGGACCTGTGCATGGTGAAAGGTGCCTGCTTTTTCAAGGTAGTTAGTACCGAGGAGCTGTGGCACTGTCTGTAGCAGCTGATCCAAAAGTGCTTTGCCTGCATAGGCAGGGACAAGGTGGAGAGCAACACAACCTTTGTTTTGCCAGCTTTGGGAAAGGAAGGTCCTCGTGCTTCAAATAATTCCGTGGCTGGCTGAAGCTCTGAGGAAAAGAACTGTTGGAATGTAATGGAGAAGCTCTGAGCCCCTGTTTGCAGGGGGGGATCTGCATGGCCACCTTTGCCAGTGACCACACAGGGTGCTATCAAACCACTCTGATGTTATCACTGTCTTGGACCCTTGCCTGAGGCCAGGGAGCTCTGAAATTATTTACCTGAGCCTGCGAATGAAGAGGGGAGGGAGTCGCAAAGCAGCAAATGTCACAGTGGAGCCTTTCGACTTCATAGAAGAGTATTTGTCAATGAGAGAAAGTTCTGAATAACTTCCAAAAAGGAGAAAAAAAATTAAATGATTGCTTCAATTTTAAATGAATCTTGGTGAGTTTAATATGGATACTCCATATTATGCTGACTGTATATGCGTTTCCCTAGGTGTTTGATTTCACGATAGCAGAGGATGATGTTGGGATTCTGAACAGCCTGCACGATGGCAGACACGTGTCCTGGGACCCCAGCCTTGTGGAGTGAACCAAGGTTTGAGCTTTTGCCCTTGTCAGGGACGCGTGAGTCACCCCGTGTGACTTGTCTTTGGAGAAGGTTGCCAGAAGAATGCAATCATAAGCTTAATTGCAGGTATTAATGATAACTGATTTGGAATCTTTAACGCTGATAACAGACAAAAGATGTTGTTGGGATGATATCTTCCTACAGAGATCTTGCATTGCCATCTAAAATCCTGAGCTGTAGTTCACTGAAGCCCATGCAAAGCTTGCTCTTTGTATCACTGGCCTTGCATCGGGTCATGAGGAGATATCACTTCTTAAGATAAAAAGCATTAGTGTACAATACAAATGTTAAGTACAAAATAAATTTTGTAACATACTTTTTTAGAGGGTTACAATGTACAAAGAAGAAAAAAAATGGGTGAGAAAAATACATGAATACAATAATTATCACATTACTACCTAAACTTCAGTCAGAACATGATCCCACAATAATAAGCAGTATATAAGAGCATCATAAAAGGAGTTCTATAGATGTTTTTGCATAGCAGTTGAGCTGTCCCAGAGAGCTTAATGCATATTATTTACCAGCCCCTAGTCGAAGTACAAAGCAGAGAAATGCATAGACAGACAAACAAGCTACAGACAAACTAAATGTGTGACTTGAGTTGAGCAGCAAGCTCTAAGAGCCAGACAAGGAGGCATTCTTCATTATTACTCATCTTTTTCTCCTATTCTAAATGCTGGTAAGTTTTGTTTAGCTTTTAGTGAGAATTAGTCAGTCTAGCTTTCACTTTGTCTAGGAGAGCTCATTAACAGACATATTGTTCCTCAAAATTTTGTAACTTATTTGCACACATACCCACATGCACAGGTGCAAACGTATATACTCACATCGTTCATAGATATTCTTTTAAAAATATACCTGCAGAGTCTTTTATTCACTGAGTATTTGACTTCCACTCACGTTGGTTTGATATTTCAGGAGTTCCTGTGTCTAGAAAGGCTTGGAAAATCTGACTGTGATTTATATTGTGTGGACTTCCTGAGACAGCTTTCCCAGTGCTGTTCTGCTTTATTCATATCATGAAGCAAAGTTCCTTAGTTTCTTATCAAGAAACAACTTTCAGCTATCATATATTCTAGCATGTGTTGCTTGGCCTCAAAGCAGAGCTTCTCTACAGAGAGCAGAACTCGATTTAAAATTGGCTGGTAGTTATTTGTAAAATAAGGGAACTTGTCTATGTTTGCCTCTTGAACCATGGTATATCATTTCAAAAATACAAGATGTTTTCTGAAATGCTGCCCTCACTAATTAACCCTTGTATAATGTGCTATCCCCAAAAAGATAAGGAATCTGCACACTAGAGATTAGTTTCCAGCTTTTCAAATCTGGCTTGTAGTTTGGCACACTTCAGGATCTGAGAATGCAAGTTGATGTGTCTGAAAGTTTAAAAAATACCTGGTTGAACTGGTGTGATGAGGGTCAGTATTTCCAAAATGAAGACCTATTTATAAAGCCTGCTGATTTTATAGTCCCAAAGATTTTAGGACTTTGCAGCATCTACCAGAAATGGTTAGCCTTGGTGAGATGCACGCTAATACACCTCTGGGTATCAGCTAATTCTTCAGCAGAACAGAACTGAACTAGAATTTTGTTCTGATTTCCCAGAGGATGGGAAAATTACAGTGAGGATGGCTTTGCAACTCATTGTTTTAATTTTTTCCTATATTACAGATGCTTTACTCTTGCTTTTGCAGCTGCTTTCACTGTGCAGTGAAGACACCATGTTATCAGATCTACATTATTCAGGCAGGACAAGAATAAGGAAAGGAATAATCAAATAATGTTTCCATAAAAGCATGGTTCTATTTAAGGCAGAAGTGTGGAAAGGCACCATTTTAGTCCAGGTATTTGTCCAGTGTTAGTCACTGTTGTGACCATCCTCAGGCCTGTACAGCACCACGGGTGCTCTAGTATAATCTATTGGCTTATAATGTGATGTAAGACAGTAAGCAATTGGAAAGTGAGTAGTTGATGGTATTTTAGCTTTGACAGTGAAGAGTCATCTTCTGTAGCAGAAGAACCTGGAAGACCAATGGCATATAAAAGTGCTGAACATACAAAACAAGGAAGTTTAACTCCATTTTTTTACTACTTTGATCACTCCCCTGAAGGTGTTGGGTTTTAATTCAGGATTTCATTTCTCAAGTGAATTTTTGAGAGATCCCATGCCTGTTCTTCCCTGGGGCTGAACCTCCTGTCCTTACATGCATAACAGAAGCTTCCTCTCAAGTGAAAACTTTTCTACCTTTCTACAGTGGCGTTTGTTAAGATAGAGCAAAATATCCATTTTCCCACAGTAACCATCGTCTTGAAAGTAAGGCAAGCAGCTACAGCTGAGAAATCTAATGCACTTTTTCCACCATGTTATGTAGGTTATTTATGATCATGACTTAGAAAGACAGCCCACTCTAGCTAAGATAAAGTTTATCTTATTTAAAATAGAGATTTATCAGTATTATCCACCTAATTGCAGTCAGCTTTCTTTGCAGGAGCACCGTGATTGTTCAGGGAATGGAAACTCTTTTGAAACAAATAAGGAAAGGAAAAAAAATAAACAAAATCAGTGGGAAGGGTGAGGCCACTTTCTGTGCAGCCAAGGAGCTTCCTGTCCGAGTGGCTCCCTCTCTCCTCCCTCTTTTTTTTGCATATTGAAAAATTTCATCTTTTACTGGCAGTTAGAGGCACTTAAGAGCCTTTAGCTGAGAAATAATGACAGTGATTTTCTAAATACTTCAGAATGCTTTTTTATCAGGCTGTAGAAGTGTTTCTGCAGTATCTGTACCCCTTCTGTAAATGTGAAGACAAGTATGCCACTTCTTTTATAATATGTGTAGCAAGGAAACTATAAAAGCAGCCAGATTCACAAACCCTCAAAGTCAACCAGGCTGAAGGGTATCCGCCCTGCTTGCACTGTGGTTAACAGCTGATTTTCTTATAAAAAGAGCTGCTGCAGAGGCAGTTTGAGAGGGGACTGTAGTAACCCCACGTTCTCAGCAGCCTTGGACGGAGCTGGATTTGCTGCCCCTGCTCCCATCCGAGCGGTTGACTCTGGTGCGCCAAGCAACCCAGCTGTGGCGGGAGCGACTTGGGAGAAATAAAAGCTAGGCCAGCCCGGGCAGGCTTTCCTGTCACTGTGCTGGAGTCTTTCTTGTACTTCATCTTTGGCACTTATTGCAGTCTCCCTAAAAACATCAGCAGGCTCCCCAAAAACATCAGCACTTCTACACTGCCCTGCACAGTATTTCTGATGCAACCTTCATTTGGTGGCTCTTGTCCCTGCAGCATCACCCCAACCTAATGCCACTTGGCACAGAATAATTATGAGTCTCTGAGGAGCCAAAGCAAGGGGGAGCTGCCTCCAACACAAGCTATTACAGAGGAGCACGAAGCCTGGGATGCATCTGAATCCATGAGGCGGGCATTGCTTCCCAGTGCTGTAACCTGCATCACCCTGCTCTGCTCCACGGGCAGGAAGGGAGGGGAGGAGTGTGGGGCAGGATATGGCCCTGCTAAAGGCTGCCTCTTCTTATTTCCCTCCTAGAAAAATAGATTTCCAAGAATTTCAAGCTAAAGCCCCCCAATTCCATAATAATGAACCGGTGTTAAATTCCTGACTTGGCTGTGAAGTGTATGGGGCTGTTTGTGGGGGAGCGTTGGGGATATGTGCTAACAGGAAGAGCAGGGATAGTTTTATTTTCTCTGTGAACTCATTCTTTCCTAATGGTTCTCTGTGACCTGGATTCATCCCATTAAAGGAGCGAGGATGTTGTTGCCAAGCTGGAAGTAGGGAAATCACTTGATTTGGGTGCAGCTTCAGGGTGGTGAAAGATTAATCTATGAAGTAAAATATATTTTTTTAAAAAAAGCTTATGTTAATTAAATAGTAAGTGCCCTCTTTTTTTTTCTTTTTTTTTATTCCCATGATGTATGAGAATTTGTGTGCTGATCCAAAATGCCTTCTAATCAAGATGATTAGTCTGGAAGTCATCAGAATTTTCAGGAAAAGGTTCTTTTACTGTTTTTTTTCCCCCATACTACACATAAGGAACATTTATGATCTGCTAAATAACAGCTGCTGTCCAGCTAAGACTACTCTTGCTTCAGAACAGTGTGTTGAGATCATGGCCATTTGCAGCTTTATTTTGTGCTAGCAGAAAACATTGAGCAGGACTTTGGTCTCTTCTGTACTGGAGTAAAGTAATATATTTGTGGAAAGCTTTCTCTTGCACTTTGAGTAACACTGGCTTATATAGATCATTGTGATGTGGAGCTTCTGTTATTTTAGTGCATAGCAAAGATGATGCATCATGGTTAGCTGTGATCAAGGTGCTTAAGGCTTTGGAGCAGTGATTTCCAGGAAAATGAAATTTCAAGTCCCTTTCAGTGCTTTCCACTGTGAATGAAGCTTTTCTTAATGTTCCGTTGAGTGATTTAAAAACAGAGATCTTCAAAATAAAGCCAGACTTGTTTCAATAACATTTAGAAATAATGGTACATTCCATTAGCAATAAATTGATTAGTATTACATGAAAACACTTTCTTAGGGACGGTGGTAGCCCTGAGCGTGTGTGCACGTGCTCTACTCTGCAATGTTTTCATTGCTCTTTTTCTCCAAACCAGGTTTTGATGTTAATCTGCGGGAAGAAGATACGGAATTTCTGAACACCACGAGTATCAATAGGAAACTAATTCAGCTGATGTATCCGCTGTGGGAGGGCTCATTTCAAGGCAGATTGTTCCCAGCTCCGAAGTGGTGCTCCTGAAACATTAGTGCATTTTGGAACTAATCAGTCAGTCTGAATGTTTCTCTTGAGTATTCAGATCTCCTATCAATGGCTGAGATTTACTAATATGATAAAAAATAATAAAATTATTTTATCTTTTCTCTTTGTATATTTCTTGTTTACTTCTAAAATATTTTTCTGCTTTCTTGGAACTGTATGGTGTATTCTTTGTTGGGGTTGAGCACTATTCTAGATAAGTTACTCCTATCTGTGTACGGCTTATTTAAGCTGTTGTTTTAATCCATTTGAATAAGTTAGCTTTTCTCCTGACCCATTTTAGTGGGTCTTAAGTATTGAACAGAGGTAGGAGCGTGATAAAAGGCACAGGCCCCTAACGTGTGGGGAGGGCTGCCTCCCTATGGCCTCACATCTGGATGAATGAAACTACGTTCTCTATAGGTTAAGCTCTGTGATGGCACGTAGGTGTAGTGCATCGAGGTAAAATCCTGTGCAAATCTCTTGCAGGAGATGGATCCCTTGGGAGATGGATAACGATCAGACCCTCTTCTGATGCAGTGGTGATTCATGATCCAGGAACACGGGGCCTATGAGCGCTATCTACTGATGATGCCAGAGACGCTCCACCTGGAGTAGTGACTGTAATGGGTCTATTCCCAGGCAGGCTTTGGGAATGCCCCGCTTTGCAGCAGCTTTTCTGACGAGGTCAAAGCCCTTTCCTGCAAGACTGCGTAATATCCTTTTCCTTAGGCTAAGACTTACTGTATGTTGTGCTGGGGGGAAACTGTAGAAGATACTTTGCGTTTGAAGTTTCTAGACCCCATTACTCCTAATTCCAGAGGGATGAATGTATGTCAATAGAAGTCATTATCTGACCAGAGCTGGCTGCTCTTCCAAGTTTTCAGTAACGCAAAATGGGCTTTGTTTCTTCTTCCTCTGAGAGACAGTTTATTATTTCCATTGTTTTCTTTGCCTGCACAGATGGGTGTTATGTCAATTTGTGCAGCTTTGATGAAGATGCTGAAGCCCAGGGCTCTCACCTGGGTGACGGTGTCACGTTTGACTCGGTGATACCTGAAAATGCTGCAGTCCTTCCAGGAAGCTCGCAGGAACCGAGGCTGCTACAGGCAGTCGCGGGGTTTTGCTGGGTTGGTTGGTGGTGCTAGAGCCTGGAGCGTGAGCTAGCGAACAGCACATGTATCTGCCATCCTGTTAGCAAAAATGGACCTCTTGCATAAGCATTTTTTTAGCCAGCTAACCCAGGGAAAGCTGCAGGCACCCATCACCTTTGGTGTCCCACTAAAGGAGCTTTCTCGTCCCTTGGAAATGCTGGATGAAGGGCAGTTCTTTCTTTGTATAGGCAGCTTCAGAGCAACTTTTTCAAAGGAGCTGAATGCCCTCGGTTTCCCTGCTGAATCTGCAGGGGGAAAGGTTTCCTTCACGCTGCACCTGGTGCTTTAAAGTTCAAGAAGATCCTACAAACACTTGTTTTATTAAGCAGAAGGGGTATGATCCCCGTCACTGGCCTCCCGCAGCGTTTATGGGTGGATTTGGGCAGACTTGTCTGGAAGAGCCGAAGTGGCGGCGCGGGGAGGCTGGGAGCTGTGCTGCTGAGCCGCGAGGGCTGCGATAGTCTCCACGTTCCTACACCTCAATCAGTGCAGAGCCAGGTGATGTGGTTTCCTTGACCGAGAAGGGCGAGGGGATGGGGCAGCATCCTCCCAGCGCAGATACCCGCAGCTATAAACCTGCCTGCCCCTCCTTTCCCAAGGATGCCCTTCCCGATGGCATTCCCAGCCTGCGGAGCGGAGCTGGCACTGCCGGGATGCAGCCCTTGGATGCTGCGTGCCCCAGTTGGGCCCCATTGCCTGGCTACGCCAGCACCTCCACATGAAAGCTGCTGCATCTGCTGCCTGCAACAGAGTCATTCCAGCCTTTAATTAACGCACGCTCCTTTAATGTCGCCCTGCTCCTGCGAGTTACACGCGCATGTTTTCCTCGAGGAGAATCCCGGAGGAGCGCGCTTCTATTCCGCGTTTTCTGTGACTCAGGCGGGTGCAGGGGGAAAGCCGGCGCTCTGTGGGGCCGGCCCTGCCGCCGCGGGGGCTGCACGTGTCACCCGCGAGCGTGATTTATCCCCGCGCCCTCTCGGACGGTTGCAGCGCAACGGCCGCCGTTTCCTGCGCGCCCGGCCCCGCTCGCTGCTGAGGGGCCGTTGGGGCGGCGCGAGCCCTGACTCATTGCGGGAGCGGCGGGGCCGGGGGCGGGGCCGGTACCGGCCCGGCCCGCGGGGCGGAGCCGCCGTTAAAGGCGCGCGGGGCGCGCGGCGCCCGCCGAGTCTCGGGCGGACACCGCGATGCGCGGGGCCGAGGTGAGTGCGGAGCGCCCCGCGCTGCCGTGCGCGGCCCGCGGGAGCCCGAGCGCTCCCTGCGCCCGTGCGCCTGTCAGCGGCTCCTGCCCCTGCCCGGGCTCCTGTCCCGGCTCCTGCCCCTGTCCCGGCTCCCGTCCCGGCTCCTGCCCCTG